ACCCACCAAGATCAACAGATTTGACACCATTGGATTTCTTTTTGCAGGGGTTTATAAAAAACAAAGTTTACAACAGGAAACATGAAACAATTGCTGAAATGAGAGTAGCAATTGAAGAAGAATGTGCTCAAATACCAGAGGAAATGATACTGGACGTTTGTAGGTCTATTTCTTCAAGATATGAAAAATGTATTAAACAGAACAGCAACTAGTTTGAGCATTTGACGTGAACTCATCATTATATGAACATTCTGCCACTGCCCCAAGTAGCTTTTATCGTATTAAAGTTAATTTTCTATGTTTTTTTTATATTGTACTCTCAAATTCTTTAAATGTGTAGTCTTTCTTTTGAATTCATCTTAGTTACAAGTCAGAATACATAAAGTGAATAAGTTATAACGATTCAAAGAGTGTATACATTATTTTGGGACAACCTGTATATATATATATATATATATATATATATATATATATATATATATATATATATATATATATATATATATTTTCAGGTATGCTATAGTTATGGGTTAAAGTGGTAAATATCGGGGATAGAGAGGATTCAATATAAAAGTGGACAGTGAGGTCAATATTCAGAGGCGATAGTCTGTTTCATGTTAAACTCAATCGTCAGGCCATATGAAATCATAATTTGAAAATTGAGTTTATCGTGAAACAGGCTCTCACCTCTGGGTGTTGACTTCAATATATATATCTATATATCTATCTATCTATCTATCTATCTATCTATCTATATATATATATATATATATATATATATATATATATATATATATATATATCAGTTAATGATTTCAATAAATATATTAAATTTATCATTAACTATGAAATGAGTAAAAACATTTAACCTAATAATTACCAATAACGCAAAAGCCCCACCAAATTTCCAACAATGTTGTTAGTAAATTCACAGATAGCTTGGAAGATTGTATCTTCAATAACAGTAAGCTATAACCTGAAATTATTATATTGGCTGTACGTGAATATGTTTCCGTAGGTTAAATTGTCACTTACCAAAAATAAGTTTGCACTAATTTATTACCACATTAAAAGCAACAAAAATACAAATACTAAAAGTCAAATTTCGTAGTTAATAACAAATTACAATATAGCACTCACTATAAGGTCAAGACTCAAAGTTCCCGAAGATATTATACATACGAAACAACACATATTAAATAAATATCATTCTCGACGGACTTTTAAAATCTGTTAGAGATAATGATTGCATAAAAATAAAATAACAGTAATATATATATATATATATATATATATATATATATATATATATATATATATATATATATATATATATATATATATATATTGATTTACTGATTTAATTTTAATATATTATCAACCCTTTGTTAATTATTTAAAACTGAAACATTTTGGTTTGTAAGAACAATCCTCTTTTTTTCGGGATGATATTGCATCAATAGCTTTCTGAGAATAATGAAGATACTTCCAGTTATAAGCACTACTATTTAATCCATAGTTGGAGAAATCAGATTGATTCATACCTTCCTCAATGGTATTTACGCGTAAATGTAGTATTGTTGACATATTTGAGCAAGAGCTGCCCAATTCTAACTTCCAGTCTCGAAAGATCCCTAAACCGTCTCCAAGTCTTTGTTGGAGTAGAATTGTTTTCCACATTCCAACCTCTCTCTCTCTCTCTTTCTGTTTCTATCTCTCTCTGTCCCTCCCTCTCTCTCTCTCTTTCTCTCTCTCTCTCTCACACACACAAACAAACCTGATAAGGCGAGTTTCTCACTGCTCTTTCGGTACTTCTATGGAAAGTGCTCGGACGAACTATATTCTTTGGTTCCGCCAGGTCTTATTATCACAGCTAGGTCCCGCCATCTCACTTACATAGTAGCAAAATATCCACATTCGCTCCGTATTCCATCAACTCAATCAGCATCTTTCCACGAATCACTGCCCTATGGAACAGACTCCCAAGAGTATATTTCATCCATTACTACAATCTTAACTTGTTCAAGTCTAGTGTTAACCGTTATCTCCCCCTCTTATCCATATAAACAACCCCTTAACGAAAGCCTCTACCTAGCGCGGTATCTGAAACTTGTACAGGATGAATCTTACTGTAAACAAAAATGTTTTAAAGTGAATGTCTGGAGATCGTCCATAATTCGATCTCGTCTCTAAGATTTCTCATTCTATCCACTCGCACCTCCTCTATACAAGGAGAGAGGGGGAAAATCAAAGAAAAACTCATATACAGACAGCAAATAATGTGTGTAATTCTGAAATGGCAATCATTTCTACCTAATCTTTTTGTTTGATATAAATGTAATTACAGTTTTTACGAAGCATCTATTTCATTACTGCTACGTCCGGATTTGAAATCTGTTCAACCAGAAGAAATATATTTATTTTTACTTATCTTCTGATGGTGCAAAGATGTATTTACAGAGAATACAAGAAGGATGTTTTTTTTTAAGTGCAGCATCCTTCCTCAGCACCGTAAATAAACGTTAATTAAAATCTATTGCCGTAAGGTCTTAAATCAAAGAACATCTGCATCCGATTTCAACCCAACATGTCAGCCATTCAATTAGTAAATAACATATTTATATTTTACAAGTACACAGAACACTAACTACTTAGAGATTAAATATGATACACGCACCCCATAGAGATATATAGATTCTGCCGCCTGTTTAAACTTAAAATGTTTCTTTCAGATATGCTGCACATTGGAGAGCAGTCAGATTACATTATGAATTAGACATTTCTTACCGCCTCGTAATAGGAGATTTAAAACTTTTGTTTAATTTATCAATGTTTTCATAAGAGTGCTTTTCAGAGATTCTTTAAGAATAGCAGTTCCATCTTCATTGTGTTTTGTTGTTTTTTTTTTTCATTGCTAGCACACTACCCGTAAAAAATAACGGAATCATTTACATATGGATCTGCATTTATACCCAAGATCCATTGCTGGTGAATCTGGAAAATTATCCATTCTTAATACCATCCCAGAAAGTTTAATATTCATGGTTAGTATAAAAAAATATTTAAGAATTTAAACCCTAATTTTAATGTTAGATCTGATTGAGGTACTGTTCTTTAGTGCTGAGGGAAGGAATATTTGGAGGCAGAGGAATAAAATAAATTTCTGCTTAGGAAGGGTTAATGTTGTACGGTCACCCCAAAGATGAAGAGACTCAAGGCATTGTAGGTATTGTTCTAGAGAAGGATGCCAAATATAACATGTGAGCAAAGATGAGGTTTGGGAGAGGATGCAAATAAGGAGGAAGATTATACTTAACATCAGGAAGAGGCAGTTAAAATTCTGGGACACGTAATGAGAAAAGAAGACTTAGAGAATCTGATACTCACAGGACGGATAGAGGGAAAGAGAGATAAGGGCTTAAGCAAGTGGATGCCAGAACAGGGTTTGGGATGAAGCTAGCAAAAGGAGAAAACATTGAAAACTACAAGGGATAGGGGGGGGAAGTGGAGAGTCATGATCGCCTACGTCTTGAAAGGACACGACACATAGAAGAAGAAAGATTACAGTGGAATGTCAGAGGACTGAGATCATGGGTAAGGGGTTTAAAGATTTGAGCGCTGGGGGGGGGGGAGTGGTCATGGAACAAAAAACGTATGCGTAAATTTTGTTCATGTCTTGTGGCTCTCAAACACCTGAACTTTATCGTATGTGACAGTTTGATATACTCCTGATATATATATATATATATATATATATATATATATATATATATATATATATATATATATAATACTATTACTACAAATGTTATTTTAGTGACTATGCATTTTTAAAGTACAATGCATTGTACATTTACAAACATAGAAATTAACTTTTATAGGCCTAGACTTATAAAACAATAATAATTTTGGCAATAATAATAAAACTTTCGAGAATTTAGGCTGGTAGACGTAAAGTGCACAGTTTATAAACAAACAAGTATGCCTAAACAAACATGCGTACCTATTAAAATAATGTTTATTGTATTAAAAATATTATTGGATTAAAACTAATCCTTTAATTGACTAAATTAATCCACACACGCACACAGACACACATATACATACATACATATATATCAATTCCATTTGACAACTACTCAGTTATAAGGATCGCGTTATTCAAAGAATTGATGGGAAACTAATGACTCATTAAGTCTTGTTAGTGAAGTGATTTCGCCATTAATCACATTAACATTGCTAATTAATTCTTTGTATAATTACTGCTTATGATATATATATTTATATATATATATATATATATATATATATATATATATATATGAGAGAGAGAGAGAAAGATCAAACTCTTAATAGACGTTCTATCATCAATAGGAATTGATGGTAAGCTAATGTCTCATTAAGTTTTGTTAGCGAAGTGATCTTGCCATTAATCACATTGACATTGGTAATTCTTTGTATAAATTGTTCCTTTATGATATAAAACTTAAGCTTCACACTCTAATACACACACACACACACACACACGCACACACACACAATTATAACATAAATGTTATATATAGAAGTCTTTTATGAATAGTATTTGTTGGTTATTGGAATGTATTCGTATACACCAATCCTATACTTGGACATATATATATATATATATATATATATATATATATATATATATATATATATATGTGTGTGTGTGTGTGTGTGTATGTATCAGCAATCGTTTCTTAAACATTGACAACGTTGGCAGCAATTTGAGAGACCATTTCAGCATTAAAGTAGACGATGGAAAGAAAGAAAAAATCATGTGTTCAATACAAATTATCATTAAATATAATGTGGAGACATATTTACCAAATTATTATTCTTGGTCTTGGGAAACAACTGAAAAGAAAGTCATCATTTGAAATTGTTAAATGCTTCAATTCATTTGTTGTATTTCTGAATTGATAAGGTACGCATCTGAAGCAAATATTCTTTGATTGTATCGCGATAGATAAAGTATGTTTTTCTTTCTAGTGGTCGGCGTAAAAAGAGAATGTCTTTCGAAAAACCGCGTCGCTAGTCACTGTCCGCCTTGGGCGGTAATCCCGCAAATGTAATGCACCAAATGTAATTATGCGATTCGTCACTTAGGAGTTAACCAAACGCTGCTTTAAGGGATCTTTTTTGTGGAAATCTTTATTCTTTTAAGTGGAAAATGTTGTTTTCATTGCTTTATTTTGTTATATTCTAGATTCTTTCCAATGATGTAGACCTTCTTTTGTCTAATGCCTACTCCTTACCTCACTTTCTGCCCATCCGCCAAACTTTCACAATGTCAAATCCGGAGTTACGAGATATGGTTTGCATCTGAATAAACCCCCCGGGGGGGGGGGTTATACCGAACGAAAAGCTGTGATAGCAAAACAAAGAGGGTTTGGATATATTTGAACGAATCATTGAATAGGTGCAGTCATTCATAAAGGAGTTTAAAACATATAAGCTCTGAAGAATTAGGTCGATGGATCTTTTTAGTTGAGAATCTGGTTCCAACCAACTTTTGAGAAAGGAAAAGACATGAAGAAATAAATCAGGTTAAGATTCGAAGTAAAACGGAGAGTACTCAGCATCTCGCCACCTCCCACGTTAGTTTTTACTATGTTCAGTAAGATAGGACAGGATGTCGAGTGCACGGGATAGATGTCATCAGCGCTGAAGTGATATTAGCGGCTATAACTGACGTGGGAACTTTATTGTCAATTCCATCTCACATGTTGCTCTCAACGGCACCAATCGCGCGTTCTCAAGCACACGTACACACACACACACACATGTACATATATACATATATATACATACAGATAGCTAGAGAAAGACGGACGAGACAAAGTCATCGAAAATGAGAACTGATGCCTTGAAAAACAAATGCGCTCAATCATTTCTCTCACAGATAAACGGATTTCTCGTCATCATGTTTGCTATGTAAAGCCTTGATGGCCGGGAGACCTTATATATTATTCAGGTTAATGTCATGGCCCTAAAATGTACATTGCAGTACAAAATAACTCGGTTGATAGCTGGAGCTCTCATTTCATGATAGCCATTCAAAGTGGCACAAATAATAATAACAATAGTTTATGATGAACATCAATCCTTTAGGCCGTTATTCTGAGGAAAATCTTAGTTACTTTTTTCTCCTCGCTCATAAACAAAAACATATACGCGATCAGAATACACACAAATATATATATATATGTGTGTAATTACTCACACATATGCATAGAAAACACACACACACACACATATATATATATCGCACATAATCATCATCATAATACATACACACAAGCACACACATATATATATATATATATATATATATATATATATATATATATATATATATATATATATATATATATATATATATATATATATATAAAAAAAAATAAATTTTAAAAATGTCATTCGCAGACAGTACTGTTTCGCTGTATCATAGATCTTGAGTGCGACTAGACAACCGAATGCCTAAAGCTCGGGTCGAAATCCAACCGATTCGGTTTCAGTCCGAGATTCTGCCACTGAGCCATCTTCACCCAACCGAATGTGTTAGCCAAATCTAGCGTATTGTTTTCACAAACGTAAACAAACGCCAAGCAGCCATAGTGTTCTATTCATTTTACTGAAGAGCTTCGCATTTACGCTGGTTACCGTTGCTTTCAAAATTAGCTTGTCAATCAACAGTGCTCAATTGAAAATATATTTTCAAGAGCTGTACCTCGATAGCTGTACTAGCACAAAGTCACAATATATATGGGCACGTGTCCGAGTGTTGAGAGCGTTCGCATTCCGACCACGAAACCCAGGTTCGAATCTCACCATGGTTGATTTGTAAGGAAGGAGACTTTCTGATGTTATTGAACTGGAAGGATCGATCCCAGCGTGCAGCACCTCCTTTGGAAAGAGCCTGAAAACCATACCACTGGTTGACCCAAACCTTGTGAGTGAAATTGGGTAGACGGAACACTTGGTGGCCGTCAAGAGCTGTGTTGGCATAAAGCCACAAGTCATCGTGACTGACGGTTTGATCAAAATGTTCAAAATGTTATCACGCTAAAAAACACATTCCCAGAAATTGTAACTAACGTCTGCTCAGCATAGTTGCAGTATAATATATAAATATAAACCAAATATATATATATATATATATATATATATATAAACCAAATAATTGAATAAATCAATAACTGAATAAACACAAATGCACTTGAGTAAGCTTCTGCAATAGGGATTGTCTAGCCGCCCTAATGTATCCTCGAATACAAGTGTCCAGCTGTTATATATATATATATATATATATATATATATATATATATATATATATATGTGTATGTGTGTGTGTGTGTGTGTGTGTGTGTGTGTGTGTGTGTGTGTGTGTATTTAGGCAGTAATCCTTCTTTCATGCACATTTTATTGAATACGACAAAGTGCTTTTATTTACTTTTTTATACAATTTCTCAAGCGATCTAATTATTTTTTTTCTTTTCGGATGCTAAATTATATAAAAACTCTCCGAATTTTCTTTTAATCCGAGCGCTTTCGGCTATACATTTAGGCATTTTCAAGCATTAAATATTTTATTTGTTAAATAAGAAATAGTTTGTTGCATGTATGTTTTATAAAATGTTTTCATTTTTCAAAGCACGATCAAGATATTGTGTCCACGTTCAAATTTAATATTATTTATTTAACAATATAATATATATATATATATATATATATATATATATATATATATATATATATATACTTACGTGTGTGTGTGTGTGTGTGTGTGCTTTTGGACCAATTGTAATTGAATTAACCAAAAAGACAGATGTTTAAAGATAGCTGTGGCGAAAGAGAGAAATTGCCTGTATCATTCAGTGAAATGTTCTCTTTTGAATTCAGTTGGTTACTCCTTACAAATCTCTGTAAATTATATCTGGAACTACTTCAATAACAACCACTTAAAGAGAAATGGACTGAGCCTCTATCGCGTCAAATAATTGGCTTTTCAATGGGAGGTATTTACTTTTAACGCCTAGATGAATTAGCATTCGACATGTATTCGTAATTATTACCAAATGCATCTCTAATTATGATCGCACTATGTATTAAATCTTTATTGAACACTTGGATCATACGAAGAGAATTCAATCGGGGGTTTATTTTTGTTATTATTTTCCTATATTTTCTTTCCTAAGACGTCTTATGGAGCTTATCACAATAACCTTTATATGCTTCCAGAATGGGAACAATGTTCTATTGACATTATGAGAAATTCTTCAAAGGGTGCCATGCCTTCAAAAAGATTAATCCTCTTATTTAATGAACTAGATTATCCACGACATCAGATGTGATAGCTTTTGTTCTTGAGTACTTATGATTATTAAAAGCATTTACGGTATGAATGTGTAAAATAATGATACCCATCAAACATCTACTTGTTCCTCCCTTAGTTTCATTAATTAGCATGTTCATTATGTCCTGCTAATATCTAACAAATAATAAAGTATTCCGTTTTGACTGCGTAGAAAGACGGAAAAGACATTTCAGAGTTGGTTCCAGTGAGAAAATGAAAGACAGAAATCCGTGAAGAAAGAAGTGTTTAACTTCTTCTGCTAATACTCCGTAAATAATGATTTCAACGAGAAAACCAAAGAAAAAAGGAAAATAAAAGAGGTGATAACACTCCCATATGTTTAATGTCTGTTTCATTTATTTGTACCCCCTTACTTCTTTAATTGACGAAACAGCATTCATACTGGTAAAGTTCTTAAGCTCAAATATTTAACGATGCGACAGGGGAATTTCTACGGATATTTTATTCTCCTAGAACACGCTTATTCACTCATGTACATAAGGATTAAAATTCATCAGGAAATTCAAATAGGAATACCGTGAAATTTTCATGAGTATTTCTAGTGAACATATTGTAATTTTGCATGTTCTTTCGTTCGTTAATTAATTACTTAGCACACACACGTTATGTCCTACTAATACCTCATCTAAAATGGACTATTTCGTTTAGAATGCGAGGACTGACGGAAAAGACATATCAGAGACTCTGTTTGATTTCCGAGGGAGAAAGAAAGAAAGAAAGAAAGAAAGAAAGAAAGAAAGAAAGAAAGAAAGAAAGAAAGAAAGAAAGAAAAATAGAGCCAATAACGATGTCATGACTTTAACATTTGCCTCGGTTAAATTTTTTGATTTGTACCCATTTACTTATTTAAATAATGAACTGCATTCATATTTATGATTGTGATTGCAATATTTTATTAACGTTCTCAAGCTTAAATGTTTAAAGATGCGATAGAGGAATTTCCACGGTTATTTTGTAGTCGTAGAACTCGCTATGAGTTTATTCAATCATTAGCTTAAGAATTAAGTTTCATTAGATAGTTAAAATAACATCGTGAAATTTTTTCAGGTATTTCTAGTGAACAGATTATTTGCATATTAATGACATCTTTTGCTCAGGATCAATGTAGTAACTTGCACTCTGTATATTTTAGTATATGGAAGTTAATTTTACAACTTCACCCAAGCATAAAAATGTTAACTTAGTGCATATGTCGCATATCTGGTTTCATGTTCACAGGGAAAGAGGATTTTTTTTTAGCATTATTTTATATATGTTTCTTTAAACTCCCACCCCCCATAGGCATCGGTGGAAGAAAATTCAGAACTGAAGATGTGAAAACCGTCTTTCAAACATTTTTGCAAGGAAAACATCCAGATTTTCAAAGACTTGTAATCTAATATTTGCCTTCTTGTTCGACTGCAGCCGCTGAAATTTCATATGATTATATTTTGAAAAATAATATTTTCGTTAATTTACCTGATATTTGTTTTCATATCATATCTGTTACATCGGCATTAGTTTCTGAACGCACTAACATTAACTAGCTGACCGAATAGAAAGTCTCTAAAAGTGCCCATTTTCACCTCGTCCAACTATTACAAGAGAGAAGGAACAATAAATTCGATAAAATAAATCGTTTTAAAATTGCTTTGGAAGGATCATTGTTGTTTTTCTATTATAAAATTTCTTTCTTTTTTCTTTTTTTTTCCCTTTTTTTAGAAAAGCTTTTAAATGTCAACGGATGCATGATAATCAGTGAAGAATTTAAGCCCGTCATCCGGTTCAAGTTAAATGAGGCTTCATTACTCGCTTCCCCTCGTCTCGGAGCTGTAGTGGTTTCGTACAGCAGGTTCTGACATGACCTCACACTTAAAATCGTGCAATTCAATACAATCCTATTCTTCCGCAAAGCTATTTAGACATGATTGCAATACTCACATGCCCAGTACTCCGAT